AACTTAGGGAAAGATTCACTGGCTACAGGCAAAATGCATTATGGTAAAATCTCTTAACTAAGTTGGGTAAGGGGCAATGCGACTGCCCTCGAAGGGTCTACTTGTATAGGTGTCCAGTTTGATCACTGGGATTTCTTAGCTAACTCTGAATCAGTTTACTACAGTGAATATATACGATACAGCATCCATATCAAAACACGGGGTGTCATTTCAACATAAAGAGTTGCTATTAATAGTAGCTCTGTGCTTTTCAGAGTCAGAGGGAGGAAAGTGACTGTGACTGTTCCCCTGAAATCTTTAGGACACTCCAATTCAAGTAATGCTGAAGGAGTTGCTACTTACTTGCTTGTATGAGGTTTCAGGGGCAATAGATAGTACAGGGAGACCCTGGGTGGAAACTACTATTGAAGCCAAGTGAGCATGGAGAAGAAAGTAATATCTTGGGGGTCTGGTCAAATGCAAAGTACATGGCTGCCGTATTGGTAGCTATTATTTTTAAGAGTTTCCTCAAATTTCATGAGATTCTGAAAGGAGAGCTGTGAACTAAGCTGAGCCAATTTCAGTTTTCCCTGGGGACACCCACTCTGCCTTAGCTTCATGCATTTGTTTTCCCCAGTTACTCTCCATGGCTAATTATCTATTATTTCAACCCCTGGATTTTCAGCCACAATGGCTTAATCCCTACTTGCTCTGAATTGCCCCTGAGGCTGATGAACACTGTAAAGCACTGGCAAACACTGCCTCCGACTCCAACTTTTTTCTGAAGTCAAAGAGTGCTGCTGTACCCCAAGGCTGAATTAGCAGGAAGTTAATGGGAGGACACTGGACCATATACATCCTTGATGAATCTTTATTGGCTTATATTGGTGTACTAACTGCAGTGGAGTTTCACCAAGGTGAATGTACTGCCTCCAGTGTCATGTTCTTCAGAAGCTGGCACCAAAGTGCAGTTCCGAACAGATCTGAAAGAGAAAAGCCCTTCTATATAAAGCTTACAAACATGGCTGGGCAGTCCGTCTAGTGAGATTGTGTTGCACTGTCAAAAAGTGTATTGGGTTTCCGTTTCCAAGCTGCAAGAGGACAGTTTGATTAATCAGATTTTGATAACAGCTACTAAAGCATTCATGGGCAAATCTTTTCAAGTATAGCCTCAGGGTATGAGGAATGGAATCCTTTAACATGTTTCCAATAGTATAATACTGTCATAAAAATTACAGTGAACCATTTCATACACAACAGTTGGCTTTTTCTGTCTGGTGTATAAAGCTAAAACTGTTATTTTTGTACTTGAGTTAGTGTAAATTGAGGGTAAGCAGAGGCCACTGATTTGTAGAATGGCACTGTTTACAGCAGGTCTTTATTTGCCCCCCTGATTATAGTCATGTGGAACTATTAAGCAGTGGTGAGAGCACTAAATTGGAGTTCTAGTGTTTAGGGTTCTCTTGCCACCTCTCCATTGCCTCACTCTGTGGCCCGGGACAAATCTCTGTCTCTCTGCAACTCAGTTTCCTCCTTTGTAAATTGGATGTATATCTACCAAGGTGCCCTTGACTTAGGTGTTGTGACACCAGTTAGACATCTGGCCTCAGCAAGGTTATTGCAGGAAACAGAGTTAGGTGCCTAGGCTCTCTGTACAATCACTGGGAACTGTTAAGCACCTCCAAGGATGATCCATACAAACTCACATGCTGAGCTCAGGGTGCGTATCTGAAGTTCCAGTCCTCTCTGGAGTTCAGATGCTTGACCCAGGGCTTATACATTGGGTATTACATCTGCTCGGGATCTGGAGCTCACAGTCCTATTCTGAGAGTGCGTGCTTAGTT